ACACATTTCCCTAATCGCTCTAGGTAAATATATTAGAATTAAGTTTTGCTAATATATTTCCAAAACAGATATTTTATCAAATATATATTTACCCAATACTTTTTATCAAGTATATTTTCAAATCAAATGAACAAACAGTTTAATCAAAAAATTATAATCAGTAAAAATACAATACAATAACTACAATCACTAAATCCATTCTAGCAACCAATATTTCCCTTCTTGAAAATGCAAAAAATCGTTTGTTTGTTTAAAGTGGTCTAGTTGAGCAAACTTTTTGACTGTTTGCAGACGAATTCTTTGAAGTCCATTTGTTGGATGTCGCTCAGGAGACCTTGAATTGTCATAGAAAAAAGTGCAGATTCGTCCTTGACACCATATATTATTGTTTTCGTCTTTATAAAAAGCACTAACATAAAACCATTCATTTCTACCAGATATTGAGCGACGAATAGGTTTTTTGTTTAAACGGAATGGGTGTTCTCTGCAGTTAAGTTTCACCAAATTGTTGGATGGAGGAGTCATAAAATAAGTTGTTCTTTCTGGTAAAGATGGGAAAAAATTGATATCGCGAAAGTTGAGGTTTTGATCTTCAAATGCACGTTGAATTTGATGGCGAGTGTGCAAAGTGTAAGAGAGGTTTCGAGTATTCTTGATTTTTCGACAAAGGTTTTTAGAAAACTGATGTTTTCTTTCGAAACGAAGTGTTGAAAATAAAAAAAGAGGACCGAAACGAACAATTAGGTCTGAATAATGAGTAATGTGATGAACTTTGCAATGAATTTTATATTCACCGCCAATAGAGTTAGAAACTTGAATTATAAAATCAATGATTTCGATAGAGAGGTTTTTTAGTTGTAATACTTGGTCTCGAGTGATCATTGATGAAAAAGAGATCAAAATGAATTCTTTTAACTTGCTGAAAAGTTGATATTCGAGCCAGTTAGTGTTGAATAAGTTGAAAAATATTGCTGGAAGTTTGAGAAAAATTTCTAAATTCTGAAAAACAATAATTAAACATAATAAAAAATATATACTAAATCAACATACCTGAATGGCTTTGCTTTTGATCGAAAAAGAATTGTGGACATCAGCTTTTATTTCGGGTTTGCCTTCGTACAAATTTGCTTCATATTTTTCAAATATTTGAAGGATTGTTTGTTGAGACAAAGAGTGGTTTGTGACCATTGATCGCAGAATTAAAAGTAACACTTCTAAAACAACACCTTCTGCAAGGTCGTGGCCCAGGTCAGGTGGACAAATGTTGAATCGGTTAATGCCGTTAAAATTATCTAAAACAAACGGTTTCATGATTCCAAATTGAGCCTTTAGTTCAAGTGAAGAAAGATTTGATGGAATATCGAAAAGTAGGTTGTAAATTCGGTTAGGTTGATGAATTGTATCTAAAGATAGTCGTTCATTTCCACCGACGCCACAAAAACGGCAAACAAAAGCATTATTATTGAAACTTTGTTTAAAACCCAAAATTTCGTTAATTTGCAAGTTGTCACCGTTAATGTTTGACACGACAACTTCAATTAAAGCTTGTGAACCATTGTAAGGAATAACGAAAGAGAGGTTTGATTCGAGTTCTTCTTTCAGTTTGTTAAGCAAAATTGGCAATCCATTGTCAGGAAAAAGTTTAAGTTTTGCTCGGTTCGCAATCATCAAAACTTCAATGGATTTCATCTGAGTACGAAATTGGAATGGTAAATCAGCAAAAGTCATGTAGACCATCAAGTGTTTTTGTCTGGAAGATGCAAACATTCCTGATGGGGCAAGTTGACAATCGTCGAGATAAAGTTCAATCTTAAGTTTTCCTTTGAGACGTTTTCTGTTTGCTTCGCCATCAAGGATAGAAGTAAATTGAGCAGGAAGTGGATCGAATCGTAGGTTTTTCTCATTAATTAGATGTTGCACCAGTGATTTGTTATTCAGGTACTTTAAGATGAGTTTCTTGATTGGGACATAAGAGTAGCTGCCAATTTTGGTTCCATCAGAATTACACAAAGGAACCATTTCAGGCTCAATGTGATAATTGAGAGCGTGATTTTTGTAAACACTTTGCAAATGGTCACTTTCAGCTACTTTAGTGCAAAGATTTAAAGACTTTTCAGTAAGATGGGTTGACGATAAATAGGTTTTAAATAAAGACAGCATTGAAGAAACTACTTCGTTGGCATGGGAATACGGCAAACAGAGATCAAACTTGAATTTGAACATTAAGTTCATTAAATCCTGTAAAAGGAAATGTTTTAAAAATAGATCTAATTTAAAATCATAATTACCTTAAAAAACGGGTTATTTTTTAATTCATTTAACGTTGAAGAATTAGTAAACGAATCATAGGTTTGAAACATGTGAAACAAATCTTCATTAGCTGTCTCAAAACTTTCATTAATCGTTTCAAAAACCTCATCATTTTGATTTACTGTTTCTTCAGGTAGAGGTAGATTTTGCTTCAATAACGGCTTGTGCTTCACATCGTTAGGATGAAATTTTTCAATGTGAATCCTCAAAAAGTAATAAGAACTAATTTCAGTTAAACACTTAGGACACTTTTCTTTTGATGCTGAATTTTTAGATTTACTGAGAAGGTTTCGTACAATGTAGCAATACTCAGTGTGGGTATAGCAATGCGATGGCATGATGGAGTTTAGTAAAATAAACTCAAAATCGTTAAAAATGGAGAAGTTTTTAAAAATATGTCCAATATCAAAAATTGACAATTGTACTCGAAAAAGTAGGTTTGAGGAAGATGCAGAGAGAAAACGTTGAAAGACTTTGAATCATGTACTCAAAATGCGGGTTTGCTTTAAACAATTCACAATGAGAGGGTAGAGATATTTAGTAGAATCCAAAAGTGTTGCAACAAAAAACTTCCGTAAAGGAAAAACTTCAAAACAAAACATGTGATTACTGTGATCAAAAGTAACGTCTTTTGTGAACTGCCCCTCGGCTGCTCTGTTTGTGTTTGTGTTGCTGCCAGTAAGTTTCATCACGCTGCCTCGTTGCCAAGACAGCTTCTCAACTGAAGAACACCTTCTCTCCTTCTCATCTGAAGATGTCTGAACTTTCCGGTAATCCCAACACTTGTTTTCTATTTTTAACAAAAGTTTCTTTTAGATGTGAAAAAAATGCTCAAGGCATTGGGCGAAACTGTAGCCAAGATGGAGCAAAGGGAGGAAGCTAAAGCCCAAAACAAGTCAAACCTTTTTGTCGCCTCCAAACCATCTAACTCTGTTCTGAAATCAGTACTCTGCTCTCAAGACACTATCGCCGACCAAAATTCACAAACCTCTTCTATCGCTCAAAACGATTTTTCAAGTTGGAACGATCAGCCTTCAAGTTCTGCTTTTCTACTCAACTCTCTAACTTCAAGTGTTGACTTGAGTTCTGAAACCTCTTCTTTTGCACAAAACAATTCTTCTTATTTGAGCAACCAGTCACCCAGCTCTTCTACTTTTTCACCCAACTCTCCAACAGCAGATGTTGATTCGAATTCGGAAACTTTTTCTGCTAATGAACAAGCTAAAGTACAGGAACTAGCCCAACCCAATTGGATTTTGCAAGTGCCAAATAGTGATCAATTTAAAAATTTCTTTTTTAATTGTTCTCAATTTGATGTGAATCAATTGCTGGTCAACTCTCCATTTCTGAATTGGTATAAAGAAAAGTTGGATTCCACAAATTGGCTAGACTTCAACTTAAACATCAATATTCTTACTGAAGTTTGCGTTAAAGAACTCGAAACCTACTATTCGACTAAGCAAAAACCAAAACAAACAAGGCTGATGCACTCAACAGAACGTCATCATCTGTCCGCAATTGTGGCATTTCAACTTCCTCAACTTGTGACTAAGTACGCAGAGTTTCAACTTCAGCATCTGCAAAAGAGTTTTACGTGTTCTCGGTTCCAAACCTCTCCATTTCGTCCAACTTTTATGGTAAAATTTGGTTAAAATACCACATTTGTTTTTAATAATTTTTTACTTCTAGGACTACTTTTATTCTAAAGTTTCAAAACGTTTGGAATACTCGTACAAAACTAAAAACGATCAAGATCGAGAAGAAGTCCCTCTACGCAAACCACTTGTAAGCGAAGCCAGGAAGCAATCAAAAAAAGATCACCCTCAAAGTGTGAAGAAAAGCAAATCAAATGAGTTTTGATTTTTCGTTAATTGCATTTTTGTATTTCAATTAATAATTAATAAAGCTGTGTTTAATTGTAGTATGAATTTGAAAAAATGGGTGTGTAAAGAATGAGAGAATGGGAGGTTTTAAAAGGTATATTTTATAG